GGATGTTACTTTTGTCATTGCCCTCTTCAACAAAACCTCACCCTGATGTCTCTAAATGGAGCTATTTCCAGATTAGTGTGTACATAGGATTAGAGGCTAAATATAAACCTCATATAAAGTATGACATAAATAATCCAGTTAGCTGCAGCAGTAATATATAACCTTGTGCATTTTAGTGTAGATCTGTTTTAACAGAAGCATGTAGTACATTCTGAGAGTAATCAAATATGATATAAAGTACTTTTCTCATATTTCAGTTTTTGTAAGGACTGTCTTCTGATCATTGATCTCATGAATTGTAATACATGGGATATCTTGTAGTTTATGAATAGTATCTGAAATACTTTTAAAGTACAGTCTTTGAAATAGGTCTACTATACCCAACCTGGATATCATATTCCAATTGAAACCTATCATTACTCTATTTTTGAGATATTCTAATGCTGTATTGAAGGTTTACTAGGTCTAAGGTTTCAGCAGTTAACCATTTGGGGAATATAAACTATTGATGGTAAATAATGGGAATACTTGTGAACATTAAAATCACAGTATTTAATCTGCTATAACATTGTTTAATTTATAAAAGGTCTTATTAGGACTTGAATATTTGAATCTAATTTCTTCCACTTATCACCAGGAATTAAGTGACAAAGTAAAAGCTAGAACTTGTGTGATGAATATACTCTGAAATACTGCAAGGAGGTTTACTTTCAATTTACGTTTTTTTTCTTCACATCTCTGATTAATGCAAGCATTTAATTCTTTATGCACATGGATTTTTGCTTTCCCTTCTCTTCACAAAGGAGGAAGGATTGCAAACATTTAGTATTTTACCTGGAAGCAAGCACAGAAATAGAAGAAGGTGTCCCCATTACGTAAGAGATACAGTATGAACATTTCTGAATAATTTGCAAGCTTTGACAAACTATCACATGCTATGAAAATAGTTTTTGAACTTTTTGAACTTTCTTTAATATAATAGGAGAGCAGGGACTCTCCCAACAAGAAACATGTTGCCAAATTCCCACTAAGTAAGGCAGGAATTCATTGAGCAATGCTCTGTTTCATGTTGTATATTTGAGAGACTTTTGTATCTAGGTTTTCTGCTGGTTTCTCATCTTATAAACTTCTTTCACCCCTTCAGACAACACTTGGGAGGTTCCTACAAATCTTTAGCATGAATGGGGCCCTTAGCAAGGTAGAAATTCTGGTTTCTGTGCAGTTCAAGTCATTATTTTGCACAAAAGTAAGTCTCGCTATTGGGAAACTGCCAATCTGGCAAGGAAGAGGGATCAAGGGGGGAGTTAGCCTTGAATTGTTGCACAGCGACAAGAAAGTAGGACTGATCCCACTTAAATTCTATGGGACTTATCTTTTTGTTCCCAAGGAGAACAAAGCAGAGCAGTCTGGGAAGATTCCAGTATTATGGGTGGAATCCAATAAAATAGCCAACTTTAATCATTCACATGTGGATCTGTTTGCTTGTGCCTTGCTGGGATTCAGTGGGGTTCCTGGTGGAACAGTCATAGAATTTATGACTATTAGTCACAATAAAACCATGATTTGAAGATGCAGTAGAGCTGTAAATCATAGGCAAGGTGTTTCATATAACACTATATACATAATAAGGATGTTTACCTTTTGCTATTTTTTTACTTGATTGCAATAATTGAAAACAGCTGTTAAACTGCAAAGCAGAAGGTCCTTTAAATGCCTGATTTACGTCAGGGATCAACATCTTTCTTCCTATCTCATCATTTTGAAATATCATTTTGAATGGTATTCTTTCATAGCAATCGCATACTGATGCTTCTAAGAACCGAAAAATGTAACCAAGGAAGCATGGATGAAATAGGAGATCTATCTCATTTGGTAGCATCAGGGAGGAGGTTTTTCACTTGTTAGGTTTTATCTTCATGTATTTATGTGTGTTTTTCTGGCCCTAGTTTACTAGCATGTCTTCTTTGGTTACATGTCACCCAGAGAACTCTAGCCACTGAGCAAAGTATAACTGTATGTTTTTCTTCTTTGATGGGGTCTGCTTAATTCTCAAAGGGATTAAACCCCAAAGAACTGCCTTTTAAAGACATGCTGGCTTCTTTTCTTTTTTATATTATGCAATAACCTGATCCATAGTGAAGTCAGAACAATAATTAATGTTCAGCTTTTCTTTATGCAACTGAGCTTGGTAATTATAAAGGATACTGAAAGTATTGAGAATCTGATTTGGAAAAAAAAATGTGATGCTACAATTAAGTGGTAACCACCTCTTTTTTCTAATCCTATCCAAAACCTGGGGCCAGTGAGAATAAAAAAACTTAGAGGATATTTCTTTATGCTACTTCAAAATGTTTTGCATTGTTTGGGAATATGTCGGTTGTAGATCTCAATTCCTTATTCTACCCAAGAGAAGATATGGACATCCAGTTTATTTAAATCAGTTATTTGCCATAACTCTTAATAATTAAATGACCTTTATTTTGATTGCCATTTTCAACTTTCAATGGATAACTATGTAGTTGAGCACAGAAATGTAAGTCCTTTTATGACTAAAATCAGCATCTATATGGAACACTAATCATATAGCAGTTTAAGCAGAATCTAGAAAGGAGAATCATAATATTATAGTTAAAAGAGCCATCTAGAGGTCAAGTTGATCATAGCCTCATTCTTAAATATTAGATAGACAATAATATGGATGGAGAGCAGGAACCAAAACAAAACTACTAGGAGAAAAATAGTGTAGATTGTCTGAGGTTACCATAGGTACTAAAGTGATACATCCTGGAATCCATTTGAATGAATTTATACTTAGAACCCTATTTTGTATATTTTATTCTCAGCTGTAGAGTGTGTTAGTGCTCTTATTTTTATTCTTCATTGATAGAGAGTATTACCAGACTTTTACCTGAAAGCATAAGGAAACATAATAAAATCATTTCTAAAACCTGAGAATCAATATTCTATTTGAGTTGGGTAATTATTCCTTGACAATACACTTCATTAGAATAAATAGCTGACTGAAAATCACAAGATGCCTTGAGAATTACTTAGTATGCCTGAATATATTCATCCCAAATATCCAGTCTCCATGGCATACATCTAAGACTTAGCTTGAGCTGCTGCTTCATCTCCCTTCCTTTGGCTCTCTGACAATAATTATTGGGAATTTTTGAGAGAATCAAGATACATTTTCAAGTACACCTGGCCCTATTTGATGGATTTGAGGAAATAATTCAGACACGGGGGGGGGGGGGGGAGAGAGAGAGAGAGGAGAGAAAGAGAGAGAAAGAGAGAAAGAGAGAGAGAGAGAGAGAGAGGAGAGAGGAGAAAGAGAGAGAGAAAGAGAGAGGGGGGGAAGGCTTCTCCTGCCTATCCTTTGGTCAAGCTGGAGAAGATGTAGTCTCAATGTGACTCTCTTGACAAAATTATACTGAAAGTAGGCTAGTTTTTAGTTTTCCCTACATATGGTTTGCTATGTTATGTTCCAATATTTCATCCATTACCTTTTCAGTCCTATGTTTAACTTCATAAAGATTCTACATACAATGTTTATAGACTGAGTACCAGACCTGTTCCTTGAACCGTGTACTGGATTCTGCATGTTAAAAAAAATGAGGTTGAATGGGGCTCTAGAACTTTGGGTTGTGCAAGTCATCTAGCTCAGGGGTATCAAACTTGCAACATCACAAGACGTGTTGTGATGTATCATGGCTTTTTTTCCATTGCCGGCAATGGGGTGGGTGTAGTTTTGGCATGACGCATCTGGCCCGTGAGCCAGCAGTTTAACATCGCTGATCTAGCTCATTCCCAGCACTTCATATCCCCTTCTGAGTTGATTTGCCTAATATAAGCCAGGATTTATGCACTGTCAAAAAAGGAAAAGAGTCCTCTGAGATCTGATCCTTTTTCAAAAAAGAACATTGTTGCTGTTGTTAATATTGACTTTATACATAGTCAACTTCCAATTCTCTCAACAATTTGAAGAATTCTGTGGCACTTCGTATATTTTACCATTGTTCTCTTTAATATTAATACAGAGAGATGTAGACATGTTGGTTAATTCATTTATTTCATGTACAATATTGTTATATTTTATCTTTTACATATATATGTTTTAAATACAGAAGATATGTTTGAGTCTGTTCCTCTATTGCGGAACAGTAACTTTCAGTAATGTTGTCTTCATAGAAAAGAAATATTGCAGTTATCCACAACTAGGTCTGTTTTACTGATAACCGATTTCTTTCTCAACTTATTAATAGATAAAATGGTTACCAAGGACCCAAATGTTGGATGGTTACAAAACAGTTAGATTTATCAGAAACTACTATCTTGTACAGGTAGTCCTTGATTTACAATGATTTGTTTAGTGACTGTTAAAAGTTACGATAGCAGTGAAAATTGTGACTTATGACTGTATTTCAATTATTACTACCTATGCAGCATCCCCATAATCATGTGATCGAAATTCAGACACTTGGCAACTGTTGCTGTGTCCCAAGGTCATGTGATCTCCTTTTGTGACCTTCTGACAAGCAAAGTCAACGGGGAAAGCAAGATTCACTTAACAACCGGGTTACTAACTTAACAACTGCAGTGATTCACTTAACAACTGTGGCAAGGAAGATTGTAAAATGGAACAAAACTCACTTAACAAATGTTTCTCTTAATAGAAATGTTGGGCTCAGTTGTGGTTGTAAGTTCGAGGACTACATGTATTAACAGAATAATTCAGTTTTGCATCTCCAATGGGGCGAAAAAACCCTTCTAAAAATAAGATTAACAAAAGATGCAACATCACCCATTACTCCAAACATGTATCGATCCATTTCAAGTTAGAGATAAAATACAGTACATCAAACACTTTAAACTTTTGTTTCACAAGGAAGAGTGACAGGCAGGGAGTAAGAGGAGCTAATCTCTCTCTGAAAGCAGAGCCTGATTCCCACAGAAACTGTATGATTTTATTCTTCCTTTTTTTTACTTGTAATTGACAGGGGGAAGCAGACTGGACATGATGTAGACTTTCTGATTACTGTTCCAGGATCAAGGCAGGAAGAGGAACTGTTACACACAGTGATTGATATCTGGAAGAAACAGGTAGGAGAAATTGTCTTGAGGTCACTGTTTTCACTAGTCTTTGCTTGATGTATATATGTGAAGACATATATTTGCAGGCTAAGTACTTTATCTGCTCCAATCAACACCACAGTAGTTGTTTTTCAATCTCACTTATTGGCTTCTGTTAATTTGTGAGTAGCTCTAGATAGAAAAAAAAGTGCTAATTACTTTCTGTACATCTATTCCCAGGCCATAGACACTTAATTGTTCTTTTGTTTGCTAGAATGACCAGGGGATTCTCCTCTGAGGTTGATGCATATTTATTCCTACCTGAAGTTAATTTTTGGAACAAGCTCCAGTTGTATAACAATATGCCCTGATTCTGTTTTCCATGATTTCATTTATTAGGTTTTCACACAGCAAAGAACAGAACTCACACACTCTCTTTCCACTTGCAGTCCCACGCATACACACATGTGTGCATGGGTGTGAATGAGCATGCACAAATATGCATATCTGTGCACACATGGTAGATATAAGACGAGTTACTCAAAATATACTATTGGGCTTTGAATCTATGAAGGACTCAAGCAGCAGTAGTTCCCGAGAGAGATGTAATAAATATAGAAATGAAAATTGCTATCAAAGTATATTTTCTTTTACTGATCTATCACATGAGGCAGCAAGATGTCTTGAATGTAAGTTGACCTGAGCAGTTCCTGGTCAGTGGCACCTTAGGTAAGGCTTCCAGTCTTTGATTCTTTCATGGAAGAGAAAAATTCATTTATTTATAGGTTATTTCTGTCCTACATTTCATCCACGTAGTGAACTTGATTCTTGCTTCCTGATTTATATCACGGTAAGCCTGTGAGATAGATGAGGCTGTGAAATGATGATTGGCCCAAGTCAGCCAGTGAGCTTCAGGATAATAAGGGGATTTGAGCCCTAATACAGAGCTGTAACTAGGGGGAAAAATAAAGGTTGATAATAATCAGATACCTGTCAACAAAATATATATTGCTCCTAGCTGTGGCCCGATATCATGACACAAACTACCTTTCTATTAGTGTATTGAAGTCATGAGTGCTAAGCCAGTCATCATAAGAGCCTGGATCTCTCCACATAGTTCTATCTCCTCTGGAAACTATCATAACATATGTATTTTTTATGCAGGAGGTCCTATACCATTTCAGATAGGTGGTTGTCCAGTCTTTTCTTAAAAACCTCCACTGATGAAGCACCCACAACTTTTGAAGGCAAGCTGTTCCACTGGTTAATTGTCCTCACGGTTAGGAAGTTTCTCCTTAATTCCAAGTTGCTTCTCTCCTTAGTTTCCATCCATTACTTCTTTTCTTGCCTCTGGTGCTTTGGAAAATAAGTTGACCCCCTCTTCTTTGTCTCAGCATCTCAAATACTGGACTATTGCTGTCATATCCCACCTAGTCCTTCTTTTCTCTAGACTGGCCAAACCCAAATCCTGCAACCCTTCTTCATATGTTTTTGTCTCCAGGCCATTAATCATCTTAGTTGCACTTTTTCCAAAACTTCAACATATTTTTTGTAATGTGGTGACCATAACTGGATGCAATATTCCAGGTATGGTCTTACTAAGGATTTAAAAATCATGTCACTGTGGGGATGCTGTGATAGTTGTAAGTATGAGGGCTGGTCCTAAGTAATTTTTTTCAGTGCCATTGTCACTTTGGACAGTTGCTAAACTAATCTTTCTAAATCAAGGAATGCCTCTACGACTAAAATTAAAACCAGTCATGTAACTAAGAAAAAGCTTTGTGAAAGAAATGTGTTATTTCTAAATACAAGGAAAGTGGGAGTCAAATTTATTTCTTAGGGAGTGTATTCCTTTGTCAATACAACTTTTTACATTCTGCGTAGTATTGATTACTTGCAGCCTGTGGAGAAGACAAAACTGTAAGATCGACCTCTTTAATCTGATGTTATTCTATGAGATGCAACTATTATTTTGATAGAGCCTATATGTTTAAACTCCCGGGGCAGGATGGTTCAGCTGTTAAAGATGCCAAGCTTGTCAGTTGGAAAGCTAATAGCTCAGCTTTGAGACCCAAGTACCATGCAACGCAGTGAGCTCCTGTTCCTTGCCCTAGCTCCTCCCCCACCTACCACTTTGAAAGCTTGCAAATGAGAATAGATTAATAGGTACCACTTTGGTGGGAAGTAACAGTGTTTCCTGTGCCTTTGACGTATAGCCATGGTGGCCACATGACCACGGAAAGGGTCTTTGGACAATGCTAGTTCCCTCGGCCAAGAAGTGGAGATGAACACCATGTCCTACAGTCAGACACAACTGCATAGGGAAATCTTTGCCTTTTTAAAAAAAAAACTTTTTATATGTTTAAACATATGCATGGGTGTTAGGAATCCTAGAGTAACTCAGCCAGTGAATACTAAAGCATGCCATAATATGAAGCATTAAAAATTCCAAAACCCTAAAGTAATTAATTTCAAGCTTCTATTTTTGCTGGATGTAATACATCCATTTCTCCCAGAGCATTGTTTTCTGGACTGCTATGAAAATGGCTGAGCCAACTTAATTATTTTGGACTATTGTTTCGTAAAACTCTTCCCATTTTTCTTCAGCTTTGCCTCCCATTGCCTCTTAAATGATGGTTCATTTGATATAATTAACTGACATACTTATCCTTCAAAATAAAAGTATAATGCCAAACTACTTTGAATGCAGGAAGAAAAACAGGTTATCTATTTTTCAAAAAATGAACAAGACACATTCAGATGATTCAAATTATCTTTATGGTCTAGCAATATATAGAATTTTGTTGTAGTTGCTGTAAATAGGAATGTCTATAATTTGCTGATTTACAGTCATTCATTCAGTTAAAAAAAAATCCAATCAACTTTCTGAATCAAAAAAGAAAATCACCGTGAATCATCTAACTGAATCGTTTTGGAAGTTTCTGAACATGTTTTAGAATTCTGAATCCAATCAACCCAATTCAGTGATTTGATGCCAACATCCAAGTTGTATTTCATTGTTTTTTCTGAATCAATTTAATTTCTCAATTTGATTTTCTGAATTTAATAGACTACCTGAATTAGATTTTGCAAAATAAGTCAGAATACCTATGGATATTTTCTTGATAAGAAATAATTTTTATGTACAGCTCTGGAAGAGATTGGAACAGGTTGTGTGGACAAGTAGCAAAATTTAATACTGAAAGAGAGACAGAGAGAAAGCTACCAGCTTAAGAGTGAAAATGCAATCACTTAGAGCAGGGGTCCCCAACCCCCAGTCTGTGGACCAGTACAGGGGTGGGGCATGCCAGCAACCGGTCTGCACAAACAAGCAAAGCCCCATACATGGGATGCAGGCAGCATACAAAACCATGCACCCTCCGGTCTGCGGTAAAACCTCTCTCCATGGAACCGGTCCCTGGTGCCCATTTCCAACCCCCGGAAACTGAATCTCACAGAATCCTCTAAAGACACTAGGTACTATAGACCATCAACAGGTGTACGACAAACAAGGTAAAAAGGGAACAAATATATAAAACAACAAACATTTAGTAACAACACTTAGACTACAAGAGAATTCCATCACCTCGTATGTCATCGACGGTAGAATTTTTGGTTTTATCAGTGTAATTAGACTGACTGAGAAGGATAAGATTGTAGCCCAAAACATCTGAAAAGAGGCCATTTGGGGAAGTCTTATAGATTTCTGATTTCTGAGTTAACTGTAAGAGGTTATCTGGTGATCTGGGGACAAATCTGCAAATTTTGAGCCTGTTTATTTTAAGGTTCTCCTATTTTGTAAGTTAAAGAGATGAATAAAAATGGGAAACTTTTAAGAAGAAAACTAGACCCAATTCATTTTTTTAAAATCCCAAATAACTCCCATGTCACCACTGTGGGGGCATGTTTTGTACTGGATTTAGAGGTTTTAAAAATGGGAATGACAGATTAGTGTGCTTCCATTCTCACTATTAACTTCCCCTTGCCAAAGTATGGGTGAAATTGTCTTTGAAAATATGGATGCTCTTTAGGAAGGTTTATGGTAGTCAGGTGAATTGTCTATCTCCTAGAGGCCTTCTGCTCCATTAACTGGACCATTTTGCCCAGAATTTCAGTGGCATACTGGGATATGATATTGGAATCTTCACATGGTTCATGGATTATATATTGCCTAACTCTTTTGCAGATAGACCTGTGGTGATAAAAATCAAATCTACAAAGTATGCCCAGCTCAGATATTGTTCCTGGAACTTTTGACTGGTGTACGTAATTTACAATAGTATTACCATGTATTGTGAATAGGGTAACTATTGGTATTTAAAACTTTTATTTCCAAATGCCTGAATCGTAGTTTTAAGATGTCTTCAGTTCTGGAGAATAACTATATAACTTCCTGAAAAGAAAAGAGACACTTCAGTATTGTCAGTTCAGGCATCTTTTGTCCTTCTTTTTTCCAATACATTATATCTCAGTGGGGATCTTTGTATCTTTTTACTCCTGCCTCTCTTAAATGACTGATAAGACTCTACTTGATTGAAAAAAATCCACTTTTGTTGAAGATCCTGTATGCCATATCAATAGTCAAGGATGTATCAGTATCTATTATGTCACCTAACTAGAAGGAAATTCATATGGATAATTCTCCCTTCTCAAATACATCTTTTCTCAGTTTCCTCTTAGAATCACTTTTTAAAATAAATAGTATTTTGAATATTGAAAGTTTCAAGCTCCTCCAGACACTTGGCCTCTCCTTCATTTAAGGCTTACTACATCTGAGAGAAGCCAGCTACTTGTCTCAAGAGATAAAGCTGGCATTTCAGCTTTCTGTCTCCAACTTTATCCTGGCATTCCTTAATTTGAATCTGTCTACAGTGGATTCACTGCTGGTGCTAAATCAACTCACAAATCAGTCTTGTACTCCTTAAAAAAGTTGCTCGGAATTGTGATTATTCAGATCACTACTTTTTTTTTTTTTGGTATCTCAGCACTTAGCTATCCTGGTGGTTTTTAACAAATTTCTCAACTATTTT